AGCATTGTTGTTGTTGTTATTATTATTATTATTATAGAATGACAGCATGTAGAAATAGGGTCAAAATGTCTCAATTTTCATGTCGTTGGCTTGAGATTCACACAAATTTTTCGGCATAAATTTCTTTGGGTGAAATTACAATCATTTTTTTGGTATTGTTAAAGTTTTGAACGTAACGACACAGTCCATTTTACGAACAGATATTGTTTGGGCAGCATCACACATCATTTTCGAGTATCGGTCACTTATTTTGATAGTCTTCGCCCAATTCATCTGCGAATGTATGGACTGTTTAGGGATATCCTTCTGATTTGTATGCATTAAATACTTTGTTTTCCTAGGGTTATGGCATCTTGAATTTGGCTGAAATTTGAGATCTCCTAGATTTAGGTTTTTCTTTGGGCTCTAGTTACGTCTAGAGATTTGTGGAGATTGATCCTCCTTTCAAATAGAGGATCAATTGTATCTTGATATTTTCTGTTTCTATTTCATCAAATAATACAAATTATCTACTGTTTTGGTGATTTTGTGCGGCTTTTTGGGAGAATTCTCACTGTTTTTCGAAGATTGATAGGAAATACTTGAGATCTACTTGATAATGATAGATATCTATATATCTCTAGAAGGAAAAAATTCTATCATGATAAAATAGAAATTATTCTAGAAATTTTAATGAACTGAGGAGGTCAATTCTCTTGGGGAGTAATGCGATCCTTCTATTGAATTTATTGAAGATAATGTGAGTAAGCTTGTATTGATTTACCCTTATCACTCTAGCACCCCTTAGTTTGAAGATTTTGATCTTCAAGCGAGGAATAAATGCTAGGGGTTCATCGCATATTGCATCACATATGAGTTGGCTAACTAACACATATATTATTATAATGAATTTATGTTTTGGGGGAGTGATACTATTATTGCTTCGATTGAGGCAGTTTTCTCATTTTTTTCTAAAACAGTTTTTTAGTAAAAAAAAAATAGTTAAAAAAAAAAAAGAAAGCAGTAAGAAAATTGTTCTAAATGAAACATATATAAATAATGGTAATATAAATACATGATTAATCAAGTCTACTAGTGATAAATGCATTAGTATTGAAAATTTGTTAATAACAATATCTAGAAAGCTTATTGATTCTGGAACATGTTGTAATCAACTTGATGATCTTTAAATAATTGAAACAAAAAATTAATGTTCCCAAATTCAATATTTGCTCTTTTCTCTTTTTGAATAAAGTTGTATGCATCCCTCTTAAAGAATCCAACATTCTCGATACCTCCAACTTCATCTGCAAGGTAAGAAAATGCATCAATGATTCTTATCTCGGCTTTTGACATTGATTTAAGAACTGAAGTTTTATCATCATATATATTCTTACATTATCTTAGTAAATGACGGTCTGCTTGCCTAGTCAATTCATGATTATGGCTTTCAATAAATTTTTTAACCTTCCAATTATCAACTTCATCCACTATAAACCTAATCACAGCTGGATAACTCATTTTGGTCTCTAATTTTTGATATTTCGTTTGGGAATTCATATCAAGTCTCTTCTTGAAATCAGATCTTGAACATACAAAGTCCTTGCATTTTATATATCTGGAATTTGGCGAGTAACTATGATGATCATTCTGAACACTAAAATCAATATTATGGGCATAATTGTAGTTAACTCGTATGCCTCTTGCTCATTCTTATACACAACCTGGACAATATGCAGTCGATAAGAAGTTAATATGCAATCAGTATGCAGTTAATACAAAGTAAATACACAGTGAATACGCAATCAATACACACTGAATATGCATTCAGTATATAGTGAATACACATACACAGAAAATACGCAATCAATATGCAATCAATACACAACAAATACTTACAGATATACAAGCAAAAACACAGTAAATACATAGTAAATATGCAACAAAAATATCTTAACATGTAGTTAATATGCATCAAATACGCAGTAAAGTTATATTGACTGGATCAAAATAATTATTCCTTACATTTTCAACTTCTTAATACACATTCGATAGGGTGAATACAGGGTGAATACACATGTTCAAATACGCGGTTTGTATATAATGGCTACAAGCTTGTATACAATCAATATTGACTTCGTGTTGAATGTCTACAAGCTTGTTCACAGTGTGTTGTTATAAGAACACCTAAAAACTTGGGATGAGTTTAAACTTTACCGATAAGTTCAAACCTACAACACCTCCAACTCAAGTAACTTTCGCTTCATACCCTAAACTCATCATTCATTCAGGCTGCAATTTTTTCAACTTCAGGTCTTCCTTTTCCTAGACATTTGCATACCGCTTTTTGGCATCTGCTTCCTTTGGGCATATCATCTACTCAAAGAATGCAACATCCTCCTCCAAATAAGCCTTCATCTTCATCGGCTTTTTCTCTTTTTTTTCTTTCTCGACGGGTATCAAAAGTTTCTTGAGCTAAAATCCTAAATATTGAAGAGCTTTCATGGATTTTTTTTGTTAAAAAAGAAACGACAATCCTAAACCTTAAATTTGAATATGATGGTAAAGTCTTTTTTGAAAAAATACGAAATCCATATTGGGTCGAGTCGGTTGGACTGACAAGACAGAAACAAAAAAATGAAATTCATATTGAATATCCATGTGTACAATTCACGTGTCATGATTTCATTGGAGTCTGGATGCAAAGACATGTCTGGACTCTGCAGAGATACAGTTTAATACAAATTATTATTAGTGATGACCCCTAAGGAGTAGGCATAGGAGACAATCATTAGGGATCATATGTGTTAAGGGATCATAAGCAACTTCAACATTAAAAAAAAAAAGAAAAACCTACATAATAAATTAGATTTCTTTATAGTAAAAAAAATTTGTAGTAACATCTATCACATTTGGAATTAATCAAATATAATTAAAAGCCTTTAAATTTTAACTTATTTTAAATCATAGACTCATCTCCCTCTTAAACAGGTCAGCAAGCAACCATGCAATCATTCACAAGATTAAAAAGACTTAATGAAATATTGATTCATAAAATCTAATTCAAAGCAACATGCAACTATGAGTCGAATAAATTAGTTTGGTTAGTATATTTTGAGTTTTTTCTACCATGATTGAGTATTTTATTTCTAAATAAATTTGAAATTTGTAAGGAAATTATTCTATAAGAAGCAAAGCTGGCATTAAATTGAGCAAGAGTGAGCTAAAAATATTAATGTTAAGAATGCCCTGAGTTGAAAAGTGGATGATGTCGCAGGGGATTTATTTTGAACTAATTCGAACTTAATTAGAACAATGGTTCGAACCTTGGTTCGACCATAATTTAAATGCAAATTCGAGCCTAATTTTATAATCAATTCCAAACCAAGGTTCAGTTTGATGTAATTTGAACCGAAGTTCATGTGGATTCTTCCTCTCTATACATGCTTGGAAGTCAATTCACTCTCCCTCTCCTTGCACCATCCTCAAGGTGCAAGCTACATGACATGTGATGGTGGTAGGTAGTCTTTTGATTAGATTGATGGATAGCAAAAACTATAAATATTTAGTTTAATATTTAGAGAGATGTTTTAGAGTTTATAATAGAATGATGAGAGGTTTAGAATGATATAATAAAAGGAATGTCAAAATATTCAAAACTATGGGCAAGGATTGAGCCCTTATAATTGGACATTTTCTTTAATCTTTTATTTGGACTTTGGCCTTTGTTTGTGTAATTAGGCTTTTTGCTTTATGATCTTCATCCATATTATGTGCTACAACTTTTGTTAACATAGTTTAACACCACTCGGTATAGATAAAATTCAAGTAGTCTTCTACTAAGTCAGTCTTGTATCATCATCACTAGGTGGTTTATTCGTCCAACAAATTATAAAATGATGCTCAATAGCAAGATCATTTGGCACTTCCTCAAAAATGATATAATCGATATTCAAAAATAAAAGATTTCACAAGTGCATAACTATGTCTCAAATAAAGGATGATAGTGGCCGGATGGAATCATAAGTTTTTTTTAGGTCACATCATCTTATCTTTGCCTTTAAAGTTAGTTGTATGTTCGATCACCTTCTTATAGTTTGGCGACTTAGTATCATTCTTGGTATCCAACACCAAAATACTCATGAGCAATACAAGAGTTCCCTCCCCATCACAAAGTTTTTGGCATGTTCGTAGAGCTCGATTTCATGAAACGTTATGCATATCCATTGACATCGAATTCTATCCCGCCTTTTATGTAGCACATACATTGGTGCAAGGCTGAAGGGACAATATGATACTGATAAAACCCTAACTTATCAAGGAAAGATCTAAATGAAGTGTTTGAGATGATGATGTGCATCCTCACTTTGATGCATAGACTTTCAAATATGAGTGGAAGGATGAAGGATCCTAAGGTTTTTGAGCCTAGCTCTTTAAAACTTGTAGTGTGACCTTATCTTGACCCAGGTCTTGAATGTTGAATGCCGACCATCTCACTATACATGAGGTTGAATGAGAAACCAGTGTCAATGAAGATCGTGTTCATATGTACACCTAATAATAACTTGACCGGTAAATGTGATAACAAACATAATATAGGAATAAAGCACTTCTAACAATTTGCACTATGTAAAGCATGCCTATTACTGCTATGTAAAGAATGCATCTAGCTTACATACACTAATATTGTAAAAAAATTAGTCAGCTCAACCATCTATCATCAAGGTGTTGATTTGGAACTTGAAAATAGTTATTTCAAAAGCAGAAAAAGCAATCACAAACAGGTGATCGCTAGTGTAAGAATTGTATCCCATTTAGCTATTTTTCTAATCAGAATAGTGCCAACAACTGATAGATAAGAAATATAAAATACAAATCTTCATAAAAAAGGTCCATCATACTTGCTACTAAGGTGTATCAATATCATATGTCATCTTTCTTCTCTTTTCCTTTTCCAAAATATACTTTCTTCTATTACTTTTAATCCTAAAAAGCATTGCACAAATATGGCGACAAAATAAAAAATAAAAAAAATATATCATAAGAACTAAGAATATAATCTCATTGGCTCTTAACAGACTAAAAACAGATTAATTTTGTTCTACAACTGTGGAACAACATTTGATCTAAATTCTAGGCAGCAACTTGACTGCTACCCAGCTCCTTTTTGAGCCCTTTGTTAATCATAATCTTTCTCAACTCCTGAACTCCCTCCCACCTCCCAAAAGCTCCATAAAAATTTGAAACCTGTACATAGCTACTAGGATTATCTGGATCCAACTCGAGTAGATGCATAGCAACAACCTCTCCTCTCATGAAATCCATGCTAACTCTACATGCATTCAGCATTGCCACACAAACTGGACTTGTAAGTTTGTTATGTGATCTATTCAAACTACAAAACAAATCCCAAGCTTCTTCAACCCTGCCTGCCCGCCCTAAAAGATCTATCAAACAAGCATAATGTGCCGAACTCGGAGCAAAACCATGCTTCTCTTTCATCAAAAAGAAGAATTCCTTAGCTTCATCTACAAGACCAGAATGGCTACAAGCAGATAGAACTGAGAGAAATGTCACAGAATTTGGAGAAACATTGCTAGAAGCTTTCTCCTCCTCCATCCTCTTAAACAATCTTAAGGCTTCAACACCTCTACCATGGATACCATAAGCATCAATAATACTTGTCCAAGATATCACATTTCGCTCTCCAACACAATCGAATAATAAATGTGCAGCCTTTAAGTTTCCACACTTTGCATACATGTTCATGAGTGCATTAAATAGAATGGTATCAAAAACAAATCCATGACGAAAGATAACACAGTGTATCTCCCTCCCGTATAATAAATTCAAAGACTCGGCACAAGCACTCAGAGCAGAAGTGAGTAATACCTCATTGAGCGGTCTCATCTCCCCCAGCAAAGCAAAAACCTCTTGAAAGCAGCCATTTTTAACACAAGCATTGGCCACAGCATTGTGAATTGCTGAATCTTTGGGGCATCCCACTTTATTGAAGACCCCAATAGCCATATGAACCTGCGCACAGCTCGAATAGAAATCTATAAGCGTGGTAGCCATTACAAGGGAATCATAGCCGGTGATAACTACCCAAGCATGAATCTGTCTGCCCAGCCTGAGAGTTCGCAAAGCTGCAAAGGCCTTCAACAGCGAGCACAATGTGAATCCAGTGAAGGAAACCCCACTGCCCAACATAGATCGAAAGGCATCTACAGCTTTAACAGCGAGGTTATGTATAACAAGGGATGATAGAAGAGCATTCCATGCGACGACGTCTTTTGTACGCATTTCTTCGAACACAAAAAGGGCATCATCAATCAGGCTGATGTTAGAGTACATGTCGAGAAGAGCGGTGGCAGTGATTGGCGAGGAGAGGCACCCTGCCTTCGCCATTAGGGCGTGCAATTGTCGGCCAAGGGAAGGAGAAGCAGTAGAAGAAGCGGAGAGAACAGGAGGAAACGAGTAGGAATCGAGGGGAACACCAAAAACGCGCATTTTTTGGAAGAGGAGGAGAGCAGAGGTAGGGTTGCCGGCGCGGACGTGAGAAGAGAGGAGTGTGTTGAGGGAGTAAGTATCGCGATCCCAGAGCGGCATTTCATCGAACATGCGACAGGTGGAGAGGCATTGAAGTGAATTAAAACGGTACAGAGCAGGCAGAAGGTAAATTAGCCGTGAGAGCCATAGATTGTGGGCAGAACTTTTCATTCAGAAATTTAAGCAATCAAAAATGTTGAATTCTGCCCCAAATCTTCTGCTATTAAGGGCTTAGCTGTTACATATGAGTTGGATGAATCTGTATCATCTTTCTTAAAGATATGGTTCCTCCTCAAGGCTCTCAAATAGGATGAACGCAAGAATAACTAAGCAAGAGCTAATTATGGTAACTCCATGCTTCATAGAATTGCACTAAAATAAAGCTAATGTCATGATACATATGGTGTCAATATTTGAAACGACCCTAAAATCCCAAACGAATTCAACCCCAAAATTTTGAATTAGGTTTAACCACGAAGGCGAGTGTTGAGGATTGTGAATGTGACTAAATGCCGCCCTCGCCAGGTGGGTTGTGTCTGGTTGATCCGGATCAGGTCAAGTTCGGGTCCAAAAAAATGACCCGTTTGCAAAAAATAGATCGAGTTTGGGTCGGGTCAACTTGTGTCAGATCAGTTACGGGTTGGACCTGAGCCTTGTTGCAATTTAGTTTTCATAATTATGTTTTCATGTCATGTGTGTTTTTGATTATTCCAAATAATTATTGTATTGATTATTGTTTTCTCTAACATATATCGGATACATTGCTTTTGTTGTTTGTGTGTACTAACGTTTCAGGGAAATCATATTCCAGACTACTGAAGACTTCAAAACAGATTATATTAGGGTTTATTGTAATTGGAGTCTGTACTTTTTTATACTTTTATTGATTTTGAAAGAATGTGATTGTAATTGAGTAACTATGCGCACACATACTGGGGGCGTGTAAAAATTTGTAATATTTTAAAGCTAATCGTATTGTACGATATGGGATCATACATGACGATTTGTCCAGATCGTTCCTTCAGAAAGCAGTTAATCGAATCATGACAATAATTTTTTTTTAAGTCTTGTTCATACTGTACGAAGTTAGCTTCGTACAGACGACATCCATAGTAATAAATAGATAGGTACAAGTTCGTCCCGATAAACACCTAATTTTTCTGAACTGTTCGTACTGTACGATCTTAGGTTCATACAGACAATGTCCATAGTACGAAATGGTTGTGTATCTTTTTCATCCATCCAAACATATAAATTTTTTGAATTTTTCATATTGTACGATCCTAAGATCATACAAATAAGTTCCAGAGTACGAAATGGTCTCGTCCTTTTTTCATACTGGACGAAACATGGTTTGATTAAAATCGATCGTATTGTACGATGTGGTCGTACAGTACGTTATCCAGAGTATGAAATTGTTTCGTATTGGATCGTAAGAGCAAATTTTGAATTGTTTGTGCGTATGATCGTTGATCATACTGTACGATCATGGACAATCAAAATTAAAATTTTCAGTTTTCAGGACAGTTTTCATGTCTTTCATATATAAGGTCCTTAAAAACTATATGAAACGAATTCTTCTTCGTTTTGTCTTCTAGAGCAAGTGTAAAAGTGTTTTGGGAGAGTGTTTGAGAATGTGGAAGGAGATCATGCAAGTCGAATTTGTGAAGGGTTCACAAGGTTGCCCAAAGGTAAGAATCTCTTTGTTAGTTTTGTTGAATATCTTCCTTACTTCTTTGCAGTTGCTTGAGAGAATATCAAAGAAGAAGATCTGGTACTCTACCAACACCAGAAGAGTGTGAAATGACGACAGTACTCTACCGATGCCATGAGGGTGTGAAAGGATGATGATACTCTACCGACGCCAGAAGGTTGTGAAAGGACGACGATTCTCTCCCGACACTTACAGAGTGTGAAAGGACGATGGTACTTTGTCGCACCAGAGATTGGTTGAAGAGATGTGATTTGTAAAGGCTTCTCTGCTTTGTTGTGGAAGAAAAAGGAGAGCTACTTTGCTAATAGTGCAATACCTGAAGAGGGAGTCTCCAAGGAGTAGACGTGGGTCTAATTGAAGCGAACCACTATAAATTTATGTGTTTTTTATTTTTACCACATTTTTATTTTATGTACTTTACTATTTTGTGGTTGAAATTCTTTTGTGAAAATAATATTCCAACAACTACTTACTTTAAGGAATTAGAATTTTAATTTTCTAGAAACGGTTTTTTAATCTATCAAGAAATTTTTAAAATAACTAATTCATACCCCCCCCCCCCCCCCCCCCCGGTTAGCATTGGGACAATTGATTTAGGCTAACAACCTATGCGGACTTTCAAACCCGACCCGTAATATGATTTTGACAACCCTAATGATACTTTTATGCAAAATAATGACATAACCTTTAATGTGGCTTTTATGTGTAAATATTGTAATAGTGAAAGAGGAATCAATGGTATTGTTATAGCAAATAATATGATAATTTAGGCCACAAACATGGTATATTGTCATGAGGAATTTCACTAGGCATAATAAGTTGTATTAGATTCCTCTTTAAAGGTTATAATATCTATTAAACACAACAATCAATAAAGATTATCTAGGTGTGCAAAAATGGGTCCCCAATCACAAATGACTTATCACATCAATTACATTCACTTTGTTTTGCTTTAAATACAAAATAAATAAAAATAAAATTAATTTCATATAAATAATAATATATA